TATACTCTGACATACATGTGTAATCTTGAATTTTCTAATAAAATGCAACTAAAACAACTATATCTCTTTGCTACACATCATGTAAAATTTAATCTATAGAACCAGGTATTAATTCAGTTGATATTTATTGTTATAAATGTAACATTTAATATTTTTCATATGCCAATATGAAAGAAACACTTATCAGGTTATAACACTAAAATAGAGTATGCTATTTATGTTATAATTAACTTATTTGTTACCTTAATTTTCCCTATTCACATGCCCTTCATAAAACCCTCTGATGTTTAAGATATACATATATTTTATTATATCAGAAGAATACAAATCTTGTATCCCTACACCATTTTTTCAAAAACTCACTCCTTAGATTTGATCCTGGTGAATAAATCATTGTCTCTCTTATTAAGGATAATTGTAGTATCTAAAAAAGTGTATACAATCATGAAGATGGTTAGAAAGACATTTGAATATAATGCCAGTACTTACTATATGGAGATGGTCAAGCATTCCTATTTGGTGTGAAAATACGAAAGAAAAAGTTGCTATATGTGAATAAATACATAAAAGATTGAGCAAATTATAAGAAACTTATTGAACAAACTCATTTTGGTGTACCAAATCAACAACAATAATAGAAAAAAACACTGAAAAGAGTCACATGATTTTTTTTTCTCCATTTCATCTATTTTAGTGAAACATCAAAGAAGTTCATGCTTCAAAGATTGACAACAATTTCCATGAGTTAGTAAATTTTTTATCTAATAAAGTAAAACAGAGATTAGCCTTATGGAAAAGCTGACAATAACGTTTTCAAATAGACTAGGGAGAATTCTTCAGTCTTTTACTCTCTCAGTGATAAGCTTCTAAAACATCTTTTCTAATTAAAAACATCACTCTTACTCCAAAATACCTGACACCTTTAATGGACTTCTGTAAATAGTGATGGGTATTTGAAAGATGATATCACCCTGAGAACTAAATACTAAGATACCTCATAGCTGGGACATAACTAAATTTT